GAGGAGATTTGGAGCGAACTCAGCGAGGAGGAAAAGGCTGTTTACAACAAGGAGTACGTTCAGGAGCGGGCAAACTTTTTCAACAGCATTCTCAGTGAAGGAAGCACCAATGGCCACGAGGTTGTGGATGCCATGGTAGATGCTTTAACATCTCCTGCACCGAAGGCACGTTACATGGTGGCAAAGCTGAAGGAAAAGGCACTGGTGTTTGTGTGTGCTTTATTCCCCACTGTTGTGATGGATTCTGTTTTGTCTTATGCTCTGAGTAAGGTAAAACTTGCATAGCCTACTTGGGTGAGGCAGTTTTCAAAATGTGAAATTCAGAGCTGAATTTAATGCCCCCAGGCATTATAATGACACCAGTTAACCAATACAAGCTTTGGAGGGTCTCCCTAGTCAAAACTGTCACTGATTCACAGGGAAAAAATATAAAGGACCTTCCCTGTGTAAAATTAAATAATTTGTCTAGGTAACTTTATCTCTCCTGTGTGGAAAAAAAAAAAGGCCACTTGCACTGCTTTAGATACTGCCTAGAAAATTTAATGCAGCTTTTTCCACTGCAATAGCAGGGTGTTGTGTTACAGACACGATGCAGACAAAATGGAGCACATCCTGCAGGGCAACTGTACACCTGAAGTCATTCCAGCAGAGATGAAAAGACCTTAGCTGTGGAAACTTGAGCAGCCATTTATTTAGAGGTGATAGGGAGAGATTATGGAAAAGTTAGGAATGAGCAATGGACCCTGAAATACTTTGAATGGAGTTAAGTGGCTGTAGCCAAAGTGTCAAAGCTCTGAGTAACCTGGTCTAGTGAAATGTGTCCCTGCCCGTGGCAAGGGGGTTGGAAATAGATGATCTTTAAGGTCCCTTCCAACCCAAACCATTCTATGATACTATAAATAATAAAGTTGTAATATGGGAACAGTGTCTTGGCTAACTACAGTTCAAGCCTTTTTCAGGTTGTTCTGAACAAATCTGTAGCAAAGCCAATATATCAAACGCTTCGGAAAATAAGCCGCATATTCCATTTATTTATAAATGAGTATTTAATCCTAAATAAACTCTATCTTTTACCTGATGTCTGGATTAATCAATGTGTTAATCTAAGGTGACAGATATCAGTATTCCTGGAGCTCAGAAAAAACATATTCAGCCTGGAGCTCTGGTTTTGCTACATTATAAGGAATAGGGCCTGATGAAGTATCTATTAACAAGAAGAGGGGAACTTAAGTAACTTTTATCTATGAGAGTGATTGAGCATGGTGGCTTCACTTACAGTCTCCTACCAGCTGTTGTGGGAAAGATTCCTGGTTTACACATACACAGTTTTAAATTTGGCTTGATTGTGGCATGGCACAAAATCCAAGAACTCTGGGACCAAAAGATCCCAGAACAGCTGGAATCAACTGTGGTGACACTGGTAGATACAGGGCAGGAGCGTGGAGCTTCAGCCTCCCCCATGCCAGCTCTCCCATATCAAACCAAAGACTCTGCTCTAAGTTGACATGGTCAACCCTTTTTGGTCTGAACCAGAAATTGCATCCTATACCTGGAAGTCATTCTTAATATGTTAGATTAATTACTGAGAAAAGTTAATGTTCTCCCCAGCGGGTAACTGGGCAGCTAGGATGAGCAAACAGACTGATTATTCCAGGTTTTCTCCTGGTACACTCAGCAGTGGAACAGCCACTGCACCTGTTGGAGATTGTGGAACATGTTACTTCTCTTTCCAAATGCTGGACCCATCCCTGGAGCTGGCATTGGCAAGAGGACAAGCCTGGGCTCCCAACTGTTCCACAGCAAGATAATCAGATGATTATCATCCCTCTCCTCATTTAACCACAACTGAGCAAGGCCAAGCAAGGGAACAGGAGCAAGGCTTATTCCAACTGAACCAATGGATTTCTTGTATAGGAATTCTCCCTGCTTGACCTCAGGGATTTCAGCAGCCTTACATTACTCTGGAAGCATTGCTTTCATGCTCTTATCTGTTCTTAGTGCAGATTACCCTTCTTCACAACAAGTAGCACTGAACTCCACAAGCAGCTTTGAAACCCAGATGTTTCTCCATCAGGCCCAGGGTATAGGAGCTTCTCTGTGCCTCAAAAACAATGTCACTTCCCATTGCACTGTCTCCCTTCTGTTTACATTTCTAAAAGCTACTGCACTAAGTTGCTCAGAGCCAGCACCACCAGATCTGCCCTGCAGATGCAAAATAACTTCCAACTGAAAACTCCTCCTTTATTTGCTGTGTGCAGGCTGAAGCAAGTGATCAATATTTCAGTAGCCTCCTGTAACATCAGATGAGCAAGGCTCCAGAACATCTATTCTTTCACCTTGAAAACTAAGAACTTGCAGTGCACAGGGTTTTAGAGAGGGTACTGTGACAGGCTGGGTGAGAACCAATGGGACAAATAAAGGCAGTTTGTATTTTCATTGCTGTCTAACCCATCAGAGTAGAAGCTAAGTGAAAAACAGCTATAACACTATTATCTTTCTTCTCTCCCTTCAGCTTTTTAACATGATCTGCATATAAAGAACTAATCCAGAGAGAGTCAGAGCTTCAGTTATTAACAGAACAACCCACTGAAAGTCATCTGGAGTCCTCCCACTGAGTTATATGTGTTCCAAGGCACAGCTTTAGACAAGTAAACATGATAAAAAAAAGTAGTGGGAATGATTTTAGAATCCCTGGGCTGAATAGGAAAGAGACCCTCATAGGAAATGGTGATGGAAAAAAAAGTTAATTTTTCCCCTGAAAACAACCACCCCAAAGGAGGCACAGCTTTCCCCCAGGTCTCTTCTCCAAGGACACAGTATCAGGGAGCTAAAAGTTATGTCATGGACTTTCCCTTCTACGCAAAGGTTTATTCCCAAGAGTGGTAGAAAGAATGAGCATTGGTTTTGACAGTAAACAATTACAGAAGAACTATAAAGAACAGCAAAGAAGTTAAGCAAAATCAGTTTAGTAGGTTTTGTGTTGATCTGAGTTGATATCAACAACTTCATAGAGTGGCACCAAAACCAGAAACAGTGGAGCCCAGGAAAGACACATATAGCACGAGGTTCTGGGGTGGCTGTGCTGCTGCATGAAACAAAGATCATCCCCAGAAGTTCCTTGTTCTTTCCAGAAGGAGACTATTTCCCTGATTTGAGAGGGTGCAGTTACTCCCCCTCCCCAACACAGCTGCACTTCACTCCCACTGCAGTGCCATGGAAGGGCAAGGCAGGGAAGTGTATCAACACTTAGCAACATTGACATCCTGATTTCATCTCATGCTCCCTCAGTGTAACTCACAGCGACCTGAAACAGTCCAGATGACCTTCAGAATTAGCCAAATGTGTAAATTTGTGTCATTCTCCCAAGCTGGCAAATCTGAATGAGGTGGAATGCACCACACAGCAGATTTTTTGCGGTAGCATCAGAATCCAGAGAGCTGGATAACAGTGATAATTACTTGCACAGTAAAAGGCTCAAGTAAAAACCATGCAACCCTCAAGCACACCTTCCAGCTGAAGTCAGGCCATCATCAGCCCAGCTCCCACTGATGTTAGCAGGACTTCAGTGCCAACCAGCACAAGAGTCCTTGTGGTGCACAGCCTCCCTCCAGAGGTCGGCTGTGGGACATTTGTAACATCCTCGTGCTTTTACAGCCACAGGAAAAACACCCCAGCACAATAAAGACACAGCAACTGAAATGACAGCTATATTGTTCCCCTTGTTCCACGGAGGGACTGGGTAAGTGCTGTCAGCATGGTACCTTCTGCTGGCACCAAACAAAACCTCACAGCCTCTGTATTTCAAATTCTTGGAACCACTTGTTTCTCAGTGAAATGTTTTCACATGTAATTCCTGCCCCTTCAGACCTCTGGGCAGCCCTGCCCTCAGGTGAAGACTCAAGCAGTGCAGACACCTGGGTCTGTACCAGACCACGGGAACACTGTGTCCAGTTTTGTGCTGTGATTCCCAGGTTTGGCTCTGGGAGCTGTAATCTCTGGGCTATGTTTAAAGCTCTGGGCCGTTTACACCTTTCTTTCCTTAGTGCAGTCAGTTACATTTTTACCAGCACCATCCCACTTGCATTCCTGCATTAGCCTGGCACTCCTCCAAAACTGAGTTGTCAGCCACAGAGAGCCCAACAGCTTGAGGCTTCAGACCTTGGAATAATTTTCTCTTGTGAACTTTATCTCTGAAGGTAGGAAATACTGTGAGTTTCTCTTATAGGATTTAGATCCTATTTATTTTGGATATTGCAGTACCCTAATACCAGAGCAGCATCTCTGCTCTTGAAGCCACACTGCTTTGAAACATCCAATATGATATTCAGCTGCTGAAAAAGGATGGTTTGCTTCTTGCATCATGAGTTCTTACTGTAACTCTCAAAAAGCTCATGGAAAGCGGATCACCACGACAAAATAAATCAAGCATAAAAATCCAAATATATACACATGCAGTTCATGTACATTCACACTTGGGGTGACATACTAAGTTACTTGTTACAGTCTGCTTCATACGTTTCCACAATTTCCAGAGTCAAGTCATGCAGGTGTTTCAGACAGGATCTTCAGTTAGTTTCATCTTGGGCTAAATTTCAGAATACACGTGCTAGCTTTTCTAATGGGCATTTAATGTGTGCTGTTCTACAAAATGAAAAAAGATAACTTACCCTGGGCCTTACTTAGGCCAAGACACACGTGTTTCCTTATTTTTGGCAACAGCAAAAGCACAAATTCTACAGAGAACCGGCAGGGGAACATCTTCTGCTGTGCCATGCCTGCATCATCCATTTAGTGTGACCAAGGAGAAAGAGAAGGGCCTGGGTGCTCTATTTTCCAAAGAGGAAAGCAATCCACCAAGGCAGAACAATGCAAGACTAACAATCCAGCCAATTTGCATAACAAAGTGCTAAAACGAAATAGCTACTGTACAAATGGCACTCCTTGCAGGGTAAATAATGAAGTACTTTATGCTAAAATGATGTTTTTCTCTTGTGACTCACCACACAGTCCCAGGGCTTTCATCACCCGCCTCTCCATGCTGTTGGACATGGCTCCAGCTGCGTGTCACCACTTCCCTGGGAGAAGAGATTTCACATCAAAAACCAATTTTTGTTGAATTTTCTAATGCTAGAGGTGATTTGCAAATGATTCAGTGGCCAAACTCAGATAGGAACAAGACAAAGAGTCTCACTGCAGTTATCCCATACACGATTACTGACCCTGACAGGAACACTGAGGGCTGGGCTGTGGCATCTGGAAATTAGGCACTAAGGGAAGTTGAGAGAAAAGAAATTCAGAGGGCCTGGGCAGTCCCAGTGTTACTGCTGCTGCCTTCTAGAATGACTCAGGCTCCACTTGAACAGTTTTGAGCATTTTTCCCTATTCATTGACATTCTTCTGCTGTTAATAAACAGGTTTCTCCTTCCAGCTCGGACTGTGAACGATTATGTTTCCATTGAAGTCTAACACAGCTCATTTATATTATTGTGCTACACAAACCCTGTGGGGACGGCTGTGTGGTTGGGTTATACACAGACCTCGCCACTCCACTTTTGCGGCGACTCTAATAAAATTTAGAGGGTAAAACAACTATTCATCGCTGCTTTCCGTAGCACGAGAAGGAGGTTTGTTAAGTAAGTCGGCAATAAGACAACAAAGGCCACGACACCCAACTCCTTCCCCGCGTGGCCGCCTCACCCCCGGCGGCTCGGGGCCGGTCCGTACCGAGCTGAGGGGACCCGAAGGCGCTGAGGGGACCCACACCGGCTGAGGGGATCTGGCGGAACTGAAGGGAGCAGTGGCGCCGAGAGGGGATCCGGTGGAACTCAGGGGACCCGCCGGAGACGAGGGGACCGAGAGGAGCGGCCGCGGCCGAGGGGACCCGCCGCCTCACGGCTGGCGCCCGCGCGACGCCGTTGCCAAGGAGACGGCCATGGCGGCCATGGCGGGCGCTGAGGCGGGCGGGGGTCCGGCCGCCCCCGGGCTCGCGGGGCCCCGCGGCTCCTCAGGTGAGTGCCCGGCGCTGCCGAGGGGCGCGGCCGCTGCCGGGCTTGGCGGTGAGGGGGCGGCGGGGCGGGGGGCGCCGCCTCCCCAGCGCTGCGGAAAGGTTGTGACGGAGCCGGCGGGCTGCGAGGGCTGAGCGCAGCCTCGCAGGAGGGGGACCCGCGCAGCACAGAGCCGCAGTGCCTCACGTTTCTAAAGGAAATCCCTCTCCGCTGGACATCGCCCCCACCTCATGCCCCGCAATTACCTCAGTCTGTGTGTCTGCACGGCCACGCGAGCGAGTCCTTGGCACGTAACACCGTGTGGGTCAACTCCAGCTCTCCGGCATCCTCCCTTTCCAGCAGTTTCCCTCCCGTTAAAGCCAGTTCTCCTCCACAGGCCACCCGTTCCTCTGTGTCGCAGCCCGAGGAAAATCAACCAACGCCAGATTTATCCCTTACCTGGCTTCTGCAGGGCCCTGGGCAGAAGCGGCTGCTCACCCTGTTCCTCGCTCCTGGGTGCAGCAGCACCTCATTCCCAACTCCCCAGCAATCCAGGCTCTTGCCTGGAGCCCGGCTCGGCTCCTGGCTGAGGAGCCACCTCCCCTCAGCCCCTGTCCCGCAGGTGTTGCTCATACACCTGATTGCCAGGTGCTGGCTGGCCCCAGGGCTGCTGGGCAATGTTACATCCCGGTTTGGATGAACACTGAGGGACTGGAAGTTGCAAGGCAAACTGGAGACAACAGGATGCACATCTTTTGGTCTAACCCAGCCATAACCTTGGGACTGCTTTCACAGAGCTCAGGACTGGGCCCTGTTTCCCACAGGGCTGGATCTGGGCTGAGATCCCCACACGATACCTGACGGGAAGCACCAGCCGCTCAGCCCTCAGCTGTTCCTCAGCCCCAGGCAAAGCATTTCTGGAGAGTTAGCAGCAACATTACCGGCTATTCATGATACTGGAATTCAGTTTTAGAAGAACTTTGCTGCATCACTCCCATTAAACATTAGTCACAGCCAAAAATCCAGTGCAATTATTCTTATGAAGCTGTAAATATAGTGTGGCAGTGTTACCATATTGGTTCCTTTTATACTAACATAGAGGGCTCATGCTTATCTCTGTGGCCAGCATGCAAAGGGATTAAATGTAGCAAGTGCTCAGCTATTTTCCCTCACTAGAGATAAAACACAGAAAAATTTTGTTTACTGGTTTGTGAATAGTGATAATTAAAAGGATGTTTTCAACTTGAAATGTTGAAATTGAAAAATGCTGCAAAGTCTTAAGAAGAAGTCACACGTGCTTCCAGCAGCAGTTGGGCACCAGGCTTTGACAGAGAGTCAGAAAGTGAGAGCACTGGGCACCAGACCTTCCCTCTCTGTCAGTGTACATGGACCACAGCTTGGAAAGCTTTGTGGGAAAACAGCAATCTGAATAAAATGATTTTTTGAGTACTAGGTATAGAGGGAAAAGGATTAATCTGGATTTGAAATGAGTTCATGCTCTCATCCATAACGATGACACAAGCTGGCAGAATGAAGGTAGTGAGCCTGTTGATGTTTGTCAACAGATAAAATTGTTGCTAAGCAGATCTCAAAGGCTTGGGATTTATGATTATGGCTTCATGAAGCCCTCCCCAGAGCAGGACTGTCTCAAAGCCACACTAATAATCCCTCAGTTTCCATAAAAACATCTGTTACAGGTTAAGTGATAAAAAAAATCTATGGAGTATGTATTGATGGTAGTATTTACCTAATGAAGATTTGCAAGATCTGTACTTACACTTACACTTTAGACACCTGAATAATTTGCTTGTAACTTCACCTGACTCTGGATAGAGTTTTCTATCCCACCCGTCTCACTTTGACTCTGCTACTGTAGAGACTTCTAATAAAACTTGATCCAGTCACTTTCCAGAAATACTGCAAAGAAATCTTAACTGTCACAGTTAAAATGTTACGGTTGTTTTCATGTAAATTGTTGGTTTTTAATGCTTTGAAGCAAAGACTTTAAACTGAGTAGGGTCTCACTGGTGGCTGAATTGTGATAACAACAGACTTCACTGTTGTGATAAAAATAATTTCACTTATGTTTATGAAAGTAATTTTATCCCTATGTGAAGTATTAAAATAATAGTGTGATAAGCATCTCAAAAGCACCAGAAAAAAACTAATCAGGCTGAATTTGGACTAGAATTGTAATGGACTGTGCATTACCCTGTGAGCAAAAAGAAAAGTGTGCAGGAAGTGTGCTGTCAATCTCATGTCCTGCATGGGGCAGAGGTTGTAGGGAGCAAGTATTACTTATTTTCTTTCACTGATTTCACTTTGGAAAACACGGCATCCTGGGACATGCTGATTCTGGATGCTTTTACATCAGAGACTGAGTGTAACATATGTGCAAGAGGTAACACTGGCACTGTCCTGAATCTCAAGGATAATCCATAAAACAAATCCAAATCCATACGCAGTGAATATTATATCCACTTGTGCCTTCATCGAATGCTACTAGCAGGTTTTTGCCAGCTGCAGTTCTGCTCGTGTTCTGTGGCATTACTAACCTACTTCCATGGAGAATGTAATTTCTTCAGTGTTTGCAGCTTCAGGGGGAGAAAGAAGGGAAGAAAAGGCAAGTTTTGGTCCTAAGTGAGTTCCTGAAAATATGTCATGTGAATTCCAGATGCAAATAATGAATAATAGTGGGAAGAAGGGGTCTGGTTCTTGGAAGTTCCTTAGTGCTGCAGGGTGGTGGGAAATGAGACAAGAACAAGAGAGAGCATTTAAGTTTGTCAGCTCCATCTAAGTATCTTTAAAAACATTTCTTTTCTGAATTCCAGTGGTGTAAGTACTGTAAGAGCCTTCCCTGCAGTACCTTCCTGCTGCTCCTCCTCACAGCCCCTGCAGCGTTTACACCGCGACTTTCCCTGTGCTCAGAAGCCAGAAAAAAACCTTCCTGTATTGAAGATTTGCTCAGAAATAACTTCCTAACGCTTCAGGCTGTAAAAGCCAGGCTCTGTAGGGGACTCTGGTGTTCTCTTCTGTCAGGGCATTGCTCTGAAGTAGCCTCATTTCTCAGCTCTAAGCTTTAGGATGACAGCGCTGCTATAGCTGTAACCCTTGTCAGTAGAATAAAAATCTCTGCATTTATTCCCTTTCCCTGGATAAAATTCCACAAGAAGCACAACATGGTAGGGATGAAAATGAACAAGCCACAGGTGACAGATTTAAGTTATTGCTACTTAATGATTTAATTGTGCAATGACCAGAATGAGGGTTGTGTAAGACCTAAACAGAAAACGAAACAAAATCCAACTATTAAGACACTGTTCCTCCACCTTTTTTTTTGTAAGAGTTTGGGAAGATGGGCTGACCCAAGGCTTGCTGAAGCTGATAGGAAGCTTCCCATCCACTTAGGCAAGTTTCAGAAATGGTCCTTATAATGCCTGACCCTTGCTTGACCCTCCAGCCACACATGCTGGGAGTAGCTAAAAGAGGCTAAAAAAAACTAAAAAAACCCCCAAAAAACAACCAAACCCAGAATTGAGGCAAATGCAAAGCTGTTTTCCAGCACTGCATTTTTCTCAAGAATCAGGTGTTGCTTCACCTGGGGGAACTTTTTCCCAGGCCAGTACCCCACTGTCTGCATCTTTTTTTTTTTTCCCCAAGATTTTGCTGCAGAGAAATTCAACCTACTTTTTTAGGTACGTAGCCTGGCAGGAAGGTCATGCATCAGCTACCAAAAAAAAGGTGCTCAGGTACTGGTGAGGTGGTGTTAGTATCAATTTTAGTACCAATTTTATGTTTCAGCAAGTACAGAGGACACTGTGTGATTTTTTTTTCCCCTTTGAAAATGACAGATGGTCAACCTCCTCTTAGGCTTCCAGGTAATTGTAGATTATAACAGTTCCTAGAATGAAAAGCAGTTACTCTACAGTTCCTTAAATTAATTTTCTCCTTGAATGAGACTTCTTCAGAAGAGTTGGAAGACTAGAAAAATTAGCAAGGTGCTACATGGGTTTATATAGTCTCTCTATATGCTGTATACAATGAAAGATAATTAAATCAAAGCTTAGTGTTCTGTCAAGATAAAGTGGATA